TACTATCTTTTGAAAAGAAATTAGCTCATTTTGAATTTAGATGGCTGCAACATATCTCAAAAGCTGAAACAGAGCAAAAAAAAGGATGAAAAGTCAGAGGTACTAAAAAGAAACAACTACAGGAACATGTTGAATTAAATAGGCTAATTATCAGTAATATGATTGTATATATAAAAAAGAGCATCTTAGAGTCTCTTAGAAGTAACGAGAGTTTCACCAGTCTGCAAAAAACTGCATTTACAGATGTTCCTCAATAGAAAATTGCAAAGACTGAATATCAATACATAATATCATCAAAAGATTCAGCAGCTTGGAGCGATCTATGTGCACAAGGTACAAAGCTGAGCCCTGAGGCCACATTGCATTAAAACAGGTTTGATTGTATCATGGAAATCACTGCATGAGCTCAGGAACCGTGCCATCCAGAAATTCAAATTACATCTCTATCACATGAAGAAGATGCTATGTGTGAACATGATTCAGAAACAATGGCATCTTCTCTGAACCAAAGTTCATCTAGAATATACTGAGATGAAGTGGGAAACTGTTCTGTGGTCAAATTTGAAATTCTTATTGGTAATTATGGACACTGGAACCTCCAGACTAAAAAGGAGAGGAAGCATCCAACTTATTTTTAGCAATCAGTTCAAAATTCTGCATCTCTGATGATATGATACGATATGATACGATATGATACGATATGATACGATATGATACGATACGATACGGTACGATGGGAGAAGAACATCCAGAAAGGCAGCATCAGTGCAGAAAAACATATACAGGTTTTAGAGCAACAAATGCTCCCATCCAAAATGACTTTGATATGTTTTCTATGTTCTACTGTAAATACAATATAGGTTTATGAGATTTGAAAATCATTATATTTACATTTTACGCAGCATCCCAACTTTTTGGGAATTGGGGTTGTAAAAGTTTAACAGACACAGAACACATGGAGTTCATATCCCCAACATATAAAGTGAGACTGTAAATCGTGACAACACTCAGAGCAATATTACTCAGCACGCAGTTCTGTCAAGAAGGTTGATTTAATATCTCAAGGGGATTTCCCTCTTTCTCTGGACACCACAGCTAATTTCCACTGTAGTTTGGTTGCTTTAAAAGGGCATCCTACATCTATAAAACCAGTTCAAAAGTTTATAAATCTTCTTGGTCCACCTGTAAAACTTTTACAATATATAAGACAAGAAGTTCCATCAAAAACTCCAGTTACCCAGGTTTACGGAGCATATTTGCTCTAACTGGGCTCCTAAATAAACATATATCAGTGTAAATACGAGCTTTTCCGTTGCTCACCTCCATCTTCCAGCGGCTGAGCCATTCTTCTCTCTGTCTCCTGCTGATATAGTATGGATCTCCAGCCTGAAAAGTTACTCTGGGGACTGGCCTTCTCCGCAGCCTCCCAGTCTCTCCCTGCATGTACACAAAAAGCTTGTTATATATTGCGTATACCATGAGAGTGATTGATTTAACCATGTAGAAAACATGCAAAATTTCTGCAGACACTTGTTTTCTCACCTCTCTGGGGGAGTCGCAGTTTCTGTCATCTGGCTCGTCTGCAGGGGAAAAAAAAGTTACAGGAAATGGCTCATTTGTACAGGTTTAACGAGAGATTTAATGAAGATGTAAAGACGTGGTTTTCATCACTTTGCCCCAGTGTACTTATGTACAATTACCATTCCCTTAAAAGCTGCAACATGGAAGTTCTTTGAAAGGTAAAGTTTTAGATGAATTACACAAAAGATAACATTTGTTGTTGTAAATAAACTGTTTAAAGTTTTTATACTGAAAGAAAATTAGCAGAACCTTTCCGAATGCTGTTCAATCTAAGGTAATAATCATATATGGGCAAAGAGCATTAAAGCTGTACCCTTATTCCTCTCCGCTGGCTCTTGTTTCCGACGCCCGCGCTTCTTGCGAGGGGAGGGTGAAGGCGCCGGCTCCTCAGGCGGAGTTGGGGGGGCGTTTGCACAGGGGTCAGAGGTTGCCATCTCCTGGGAAACACACAGTGCACAGTCTAGGTATGAGAAAACTGTTGAACGCCCTCGTCTACTCCCATCAAAGGGTTCCACAGACATAATAATCATACACACACACACACACACACACACGTGCAAGCTCTATACCCACACATAAAACAAATGCCTAAAAACACACAGTCAAAGAGCTACTTCAAAACTGCACACACATATTAGTCTGCAGAGGGCGTCTGCACAGGATCACTGTAATAAACACCCCCAGGTACCATTAAAACACATACAAACACACACACACCTTTGAGGTGACGAGGGGGGGGCTGTACTGATGTGAATAACAGTGCTAAATGATCCTAACTGCTCCTACAAGTTTAAATGTATATATATTTACAGAGGTTTAAGTTATGAAAATTTCAAACAAATGAATTTACACTGCAAAATATCAATATGGTAATACTCGTGAATTATGAACTCAAACAATCTTCTGCCTCTAGTTCAGGGGCTAATCCATTAGCTGACCAGCTTTAATAATGCTAAACCAGGGGACACAGCAGGGTTTTTTTTAAATATGTGTGTGTTTGTGTGTGCTGCTAAAAGATTTTATAGATCGTTCGTTAAAAAGTGCAGAGCCAGAGGTGAATGTCAAACTCAAATGCTACGCTAACTCTAGCTTACGCTAACAGGCATGCAAAGGCTGTAATGAGCAGCTGAGGCGGCCTGTAAAAGTCAGATAATGCAAAAAGGTGACTAAAAGGGCCTTGGGACACGTTAAAATACTCCAGCACACACTTTTAACACTTGCAGTCAAACAGAAACAAGGTTGTAATCCAAAGTTACATTTCTGGTGGCCTTACAGCATACATAATAGCTAAAATGTACTATTTTGCTTTAAATGTATGCTGTTGCCCTTTTGTAAAATAACAGCAAAGAGTTATCTACATTTATAGACCACCAGGTTCTTAGACTTAATGTGGGATCAAGCAGGGTCTCCAGACTCCATATAGTGACAGGGTAGCACTTTATATTTGTTTACAGAGTTAGAATCAAAATCAGAATCAAAGAGTTATAAAAGTAAAAAAAAATGCTTTAAAGATTACTCATAATACTTTGTCAGCACTTATTAAAATTAAATCAAATGCTAAAGGGAGAACTATTCATAAATATAGTGTTTAATAGACTTAATTAATTACAACAAACACATCAAACTCACACTACATAAATCAAACCAATCCACTAAAGTCAACAACTTTGGTCCAAGTGGTTGACTTTAGTGTGAAACTTGCTATTTGAAATAATACACTTGTGTATTACTATAAAAAGCATATTAAAAATTGTGGATATCTACTGATAATAATACATTAGCTGAAATAAATTAAAAAGATGTGAACAAAACACGTGGTATGAATTAAACAAGCTGAAAATGATAAAAAAAATTAAATTAAATTAAAAAAAAGTTAGCACACCATTGTCTATCCTGTGAACCATGACGTGCCCTTGATGTGAGCACGTGGCCTTTAACATTTATCATTTTAACCCAAATATGAAATTAAAGCTGCATTAAACAATAAAGAAAACACTAAACCAGCTCCTAACTTTTAAGCAAACAACTACTTACACATTCAGCAGAAACAGAGGAATCTGGGTTTGCAGTCATCTTTTTGGCCACATGTTGAATGTAAATTCATTTCAGCCCTGGTTTGGTCCACAGACTCTTGAGAAAAATATCTGGATGTCTTTGGGTTGCTATAAGTGCTCGCCGTTCTTCAGCTACTTCGCCTCTCCGTCATTTAGCGCTACACAGAAAGTGTAAAGCCGGCTTGAGTCAGCTGGTTATACACTTCCTTTTGCAAGAGCAGGTGCACTGGTTAAGCTTCACTGAACCAAGCCTACGACCTGATTGAAAAGCAATAGGTGGATATTGCTTAATGCAGCTTTAAAGATGTGCTGATATTTATATGATAGTTTATAGTGAAGAAAAAGGCCACAAATGCGCTGCAAGCAGGCCTAAATGCATCGAAAAGCAAGCTATTTTTAGCACAGTGGAACTTTCACCTTTTCAAACAACTTCTCTTTGCACTTCCTCTTCTCTCAGAATCTATCGTCGCCTTGATCTTGACTGACAGACAGCCTGGAAAGTACCTGACTTTACTCTACAGCTGACAAACTTTAAACTGACTGTGTATACATTGCAGCAATCCAGCTAAGGGCAGCTTTTAGTTGGATGAAACGTTTGATTACACCCAAGGGTAGGCTCAGCAGAGAACAGGATGTAACAAACAATAAAACAATGGTGCACCAAAATAATAGAATAAGCAATCACACTACAGCAAATTAATACATGCCAGCTGTGTTTATGTTTTACAGATGTACAGCCGAAGTAGCTGCATGTATTGTTAAAGTGTAAGATGTGAAAATAGGCAAATACCTTTTGTAGAAATCTGTGTTTTTCCTGTATATAAAAATTATAGAATCTACCAAAGAAACAGTGGGATTTTTCATTATGATTTGAAAGTACAATTTTGCTTATCAAATGGCCAGAAATAAGAAAAATAATGTACAGACTTCTGGTAAGACTAATTAAACTTAGTTATATGCAGACCAGTTGCGCTTATGTGCATCCCCCAACCCTACAAAAAGGCCCAATCTGAGCCAGTAACAACCCTGGAAATGTGTACTGCAGGTATTTTTGCTTAAATGAGCAAATGAGCAAATAAGAGGAGAAATGTCAAAACTATGCACAAGTCACATCAAAGCACACCACCCAGATTTCCCCAATATTTTTATGTTTGTGTAAAATTGCAATACATGCATCCATAGTTTGTGTTATCCTAGCTACCAGATCATAAGATACAGTCAATATACACATTTAATACCAACACAGCTTGGCAACCAGATTGAAAGGGAGTCCTCACACACTGGGAATATACAACCTGAGGGGCTATAACTACCCCACGACCTTCTCCATCTGACCCTGAGTGTGCAAAAAGCAAAACAAAATAACCTCCCAGAAATCAGTGCTCAGGAATCCCAAGGCAAGTCTGTACTGCTTTACATAACTAAAGACTAATTTCAGTGTTTTAAGTGAATGTCTATCATTTTTCATGTTAGCAGTGTTTTCATTGCAACCTATAAGTGGAGATGAGTGCAGTTATCGATTGTATGGCTTTTTTTTTTCAGTACGATGCTCTAGAAAAGACATTCTGTCCAGCCTTAAGTTTGATGCGTAATGAATTAGCTGCAAAATAGGGATTAAAATGAAAAGGAATCAGTAAATGTGGGTCGAACCATATATATAATTGTTCTAGTATGGATCACAGAATTGCAACTTCAATAAAGTTGGAAAGATTCAAAAACTCTATTAATGCTATTTGAATCTTCATACAGGTGCATGTTCATTATTTGAAAATTAAAATATACATTAATAAATGAAGACATTAAAAAAAGGCTTATCTCCTAAAAAGTCGTCTGTAGCAGTCAATATACTCTGTTTTCATTGACAACAAATTAATTAAGTGTCCAATTACTAATCAGAAGCCGCATATACACAGAGCTTTTGCATGGAAAGAATGTAATGCTGCTTAAAAGCCTAGCTACAATTTCTTAAATCACATTTTATACAGTAACTGGAAACAAATTAATGTGACCATATTTACTGAGTTTGCAATTGGGTGATACAACAAAACAAAGTAGCAAATCTACACAGAATGGCTGAATCTTATGGCAGGATCTTAAGAGAGCTGTGCATAGGCGAATGCCTGCAAACCTCAATAAAATGAAGCAACATAGCAAAGACACGCAGGCCAAAATTCCTCCACAGCAGATAAAGTAGACTGATAAAGTCATACCGTAGTTTTTTTAATCAAGTATACCTCAAGAATCCTCTGAAAACATTCTTTTACACAACTGTGCATGTTCTTGGGTTTTTTGTTTTTTTTTAAAGTATCGGCTTTGTTTTTCAATAATTTAAGTTCATACCCCTGTACTATAACACACTCTCACAAGTTACATTCACATCTTAAATGCTGTTGACCGTCTTTTTTTTTTTTGCACTACTGTCATACCTGCTACCGTTGGTCATTTCCACTACTGTCCATGTACAACTCACAAGCTGGTCTATCTACTTATTTATTTATCTATTTATTTATCTTTCACATCTGCACTGCTGTATATAGGTTTCACTTTTAATATATATTTCCCCAAAACGTGTCGTTTATCTTTTTTAATTCTTAATTCTTCCTCACAGTCAGGTGACACAAAAATGCATTAGTGCCGTTAATTTATGGCACTTTTTAGGATATCTGTGATAGATGTAGAGGTATAATGAACACAAACAAAATGACCACACTTTGTACCTGACATTGTTTCCCTTACTCATTATAATCAGGTAAAGTTTGAGTGTTTTCTGGCAGATTTTTTTACTTTTATATGACTTGATCATATTTATATGACTGCACATAGGAACTCAACACCACACGATCTTTTGCTTGCTATTTTAAATGTTGTGACCAAAATTGTCAATTTTATCCACCAGCCACATGTCATGATACTTTTTTGTCAGACATGCCAACCACAATCTGTTCGCAATCCATCTGTGACCTTTTTGTGGTCTGGATGCAAAACGGAAACACCAAAAGAAACCAAACGAAACTCCACATGCACCAAAAGTGAATCGAAAGGTCTGGTTGACATGCGTAGTCTGACTGAGCTAAGAGCCAAGCAGTTTAAATAATTATAGTTTAGCATAACCTAAGATTGAATCTAGTTATTATAGTGCAAGGAGAGTTTCCTTATTTATAAAAAACTGAGGGGGATTTTCACGTAGAAGCATTGCATAAATGTTGGGAAGTGTTCCAATATAACTCTGTAGTCCTACTGTACTTCAAACTATTTTAATCTACAGTAACACACAGAAATGCATAATAACCCACCAGCTGCTCCACACATGGTTGAAGCAGAGAGGAAGAAATGGGATAAAAATGAAGGAGGAAATAGGAGGAGGAGGGGAATACTATCTTAAC